CACTAGATGCTTAATAACACCAAAAAACTCCCTGATAAACACACACACACACACACACACACAGAATGTGGTTAATTAAAAACTAAATAAAAGATTGCATGATCGAAGCAGCAAAAGGTAGAAAAAGGAAAAAAATACTGGAATAGAAATGAAAATTGTTAAGTTTGTGTATATGACCTCAGTGAAGTATTTAGTACTCTTGTGCCCCAGTTTCTTCACTAAATAAAAAAGTTCAATTAGATTATCTCTAATAGTTCCATGTTATTTTTTAAAAATGAAATAATAATCACTCTCCATGTAAACATTCACATACAATAAATATTCTCTTAATTAACATTCACTGAACTAACTCACCAGATTAACCAAAATTTTCCATCCCCTCTGAAAAATATATAGTCTGACTAAAGTTTCACAAACATTAAGGAACCTCAAATTAACTAAAGGTTTTGTTAAAATACAGGTACACCCCACTGAAGTTTCTGATGCAGTGTATTTGGCTAAGATTTAGGAATTTACAGTTCTAACAAAGTGCCAGGTGATGCTGATCAGACTGGTCCAGAGATAACATTTTGATAACTACTTCTCTATACAAAGTGCCCATGCACCTTCTCCCTTCCCACCAGTTGAACTGTTTAATTATAAAAGGTCACATAGCCAAACCTGTATATTTCAGTTGAAATTGTTTATTGTGGTTATCTTAAATATTATGTAAACACGTAGAAGGAAACTGTCAAATTAGCTATTGAATTAGGCATAAGAATTCCATAAAACATTGGGAAATTTTCCTAAAAACCTAGAAACTTGCATTCAGATTCTTTTTCAATTTAGTTTTTTGGTACAACTAAAAACTTAAAGGAGAAATAGTAGGTGATGAATTAATGATGTCAAGTATATCATGAGTGCAAATGGATGATTAGGTGATAGACATGTTCATTATCTTGATTGTGTTATTATAGTGCTCACTTCTTATCAAACAATGTACGTAAAACTTATCACTGTAAATTTATGTACACTAAATTTACATGAATTATTATGCAACAATTACTCTTTAATAAAATATAACAGTACACAAATAGTATACACAAAACACAACAAAACTCCTAATATTAATAAGACTGACAAAACCAGTTTGTGAAGAATAGAGCAACCATAACTCTCATATATTGTTGATAAGAATACATAATGGTATAAACATTTGTACACAAAGGTTTGGCAATTTTATATAAAACTTAATACATAAACTCTATGACCGAGTAATTCCATTCCTATTTAGCCAAGAGAAATGACTATACAGAGATTGTTTAGATAGACACCTAAAACTGGTAACACCCCAGGTATCCATCAGCATCAGTACAATACAAATAAAAGGAACAGATTAATTTATGCACAGAAAAACATGAATGACTTTCAAAATGCTAAATAAAAGAAACCTTACACAAGGGTACATCTATTTGATCCCTTTTTCAAGAAAAGGTGAAATTAATCTATGATATAAAAGTAAGGAGAATAGTGATTGCTTTTAGGAAATAGTGGCAGGACAAGGTAAGGATATGACGGCATACTCTGGGATGATAACATTCTTTTATTTTGAAAGGGCTTATCTGGCTTGCAAAGAGATAAGTTTGTCCAAACTCATAGAATGATAGATATTTATGCTTTGTGTATTTCAACTTTTTTTTTTTTTAAAGATTTACTTACTTATGCATACAGAACTGGGGTACAAGCCAGAGGAGCAGGGGAGGTGAGAGGATTCACCAGAGACAGAGTGTGGAGCAGAACAGGCAGATAGATGTACACTGTTGAGGGGAGCAGTGGGCAGTTCAGAAGAGGACTGCACGCCATGTGGGTCTTCTCTGGGCAGTGATCGAACTCATGCGCAAGTGGCTTTAACTTCTTAGTGCTGTGCTTTAACCTGCTGTGCCACAGGGAGAACTCTGTATTTCAAGTTTTACTTCAAAATAAAAATAAATTGCAGAATACTGAACTCTAGCGAATAGCATGCTTGCTCAAGTGTTTGGGGATAGGCTATACTATGTCTGCTACTTCTAAATGCAACAAAGCATGACTTATGGATGAATAGGTGTGTGATAAAGTCATGTATAATGAAATGTTAACAGAATATTCAATCATTCCATCTCAATCAGATCATTTCAAATCACTTAAAAATTGAACTCAGGCCCTCCCTGGTGGCACAGCAGGTTAAAGCACTGCACTGAGAAGCTAAAGCCACTTTCGCATGAGTTCGATCCCCGCCTGCCCCGGAGGTAACCACATGGCATAGCGGACCTCTCCTGGCCAGTCCGCTGCTCCCCTCAGCAGTGTACTTCGTCGATCTGCCTGTTCTGCTCCCCACTCTGTCTCTGGTGAAGCCTCTCGCCACCCCTGAGCCTCTGGTCTGTACCCCAGTTCTGTATGTACAAATAAATAAATCTTTAAAAAAAAAAATTGAACTCAAGTTCATCCCATCCACAAATGATATGCGACAAAAAAAGAAACTCCTCAAATCTCATCCTTTTTCAGCTATTACTAGATCATGTCTGTCCCTTTTCAAAGTCATTTTCTTGAAGTCAAGTGTACATACTCCCAATTCCTGTTTGTCTCTTCCTATTCCATTGTGACTTGTGCTACCAAAATTTCAGCAAAATGGCTCTTCCTCAAACAATGATTTCTACAATAGTAAAACAAATGGGCATCTTAAAATTCCCATGCCTTCAAGTATACAAAAATATTAAATTTATCTACTTTTGAATCTGATATTAGAGGATGAAAAAAAGAGAGCTTGAGTTCATTTTATGGCCAAGTTAGAAAGTAAGAAAGGAGAAAGTTAAGGGATGAAATCAGAAGAAAAAATAAGAGAATATACTTTGCAAACATAGATGACAATTGTTTATTTTCACAGGCCATATTCTATTGCATTTTGAAATTTTAGTGAATTCATTAACTACTGTTCACATTTCTTCAACATGCTTAGTCATCATATCTACAGAAGCTCTATCTTGTATGAATTTCCCAAACCACCTATTTACATATAAATTACTTTGAGTTACAAGAACAGTAACTACAAAACAAGGTCTCCAAAAATCAGACAAATCAGTTAGGACAGAAACTTACCAAAGAACATTCATAATATGTAACACAACTCAAAGCCTTCCAACAATTTGACAAAACTAGACAACAAAATCACTTTCAACATAACCCTGTAAAATGTAAAACAAAAAGGATTTCTCTGCAACAGAACTTCAGAGATGTAAGCTAAGCTTCAAGCTTGAGCCTAAAACACTCTGAAGAATTTGAATTGTATTTAGCATTTTAAGGTGATGGTTCCTAAACTGCAAGTGACTTTGTGGAGTGCCCTGTTTCTCATTTTAAAGATGAACAGGCACTGCCTAGTCAAGGAAAGAACATTCCAACATGGTCAAAAACCAGCAAAAGTATATGTAAAGATAAGCACAGAGGCTTTATTTATTTATTTATTTTTTCTCTTGTAATCATCTGTGGATCTTGGTCACAGAGGGTAGTTTCCTAAAGGTTCCTATCTTTATTCCTACAACTATTTTCCTGAGAAAGAAAACTCATTTATTCCACAAGTAGTTATTTAGTTTGTTCAACATGTAATCCTAGCACAATGTGTACTGCCTGGATTTATAAACAGAGAATATGGCTAAAGAAAATATACTATGTTAAGCTAGATTTGCATATATATAGTTGCACTGACTACTTTTAAAATGTTAAGCTTAGTTTTTCATTTAAAGTTCTACCAACAATGGAGGTGTCATGAAGAATATAATAATTTAACTTCAATTATAAGGAAGGAAACATGGAAGTGCTTAATCACAAACTAGACAAACACACCTAAAAATCCGGAATCATTGTTTAGTATAAAGTCTAGGTTCAAAATTCTAATCCTTTTGGTTCATGAACCTTTTTGAAAGTCTGATGAAAGCTAAGGAGACTGTGGTAGGTAGGCAGCTGCTGACAGGCCTACCAATAATCCCCACCTCTTGTTCACAATCTTGTTTAATCTCCTGGGTACAGGCTGATTCTAGCAACTTGCTTCTAAATAATGGAACATGGCAAAAGTGAAGAGCTATTTCTTCTGATTCAAAAAAGTTAGATAAGACAGGACTGTCCTCTATCTTACTAGTATTCTCTCTTGCCCTTTCACACTGATGAAAATGCTGCTGTGTTGTGAGATGCTCCATGTGGCAAGAAACCAAGAGAAGTCTTTAACAATAGCTTACAAGAAACTGAGACCTGGCTCTAACAACCCACAAGGAACCGAATCCTGCTAATTACCACATGAGATGGGAAGTCAATCCTCCAGTGCAACTCTGGGATGACTGCTACCTATAAGAGGCAGAGTCAGGGTACTCACTTAAACCGTACTTGGATTCTGAACCTGCAAAAATTATGATTAAATGTACATAGTTTTAAGTTGCTAAATTTGGGGTAATTTGTTATATAACAGTAGGTAACTAACAAAGATCCTGTTTGTGGGGAAATATGTACATGAACAAATTCCAACATATGTTTAAGGAAAATAAGAGGCGTCTCTGAAGTCTATCAGTAAAACTCCTAATGGCCCAGGGATCCCAAATTAGAAAATTTCTTAGATGACAAAGTCCAAACTATATGCACAAAAATACTGTTGAAAATAAATATAACTACTGTGTACTTAACAAATGCCAAAATATTTTCCTTCTAAAAAGGACTATTAAGAAAGTTAAATTACTTTAAATATGATACCTTAGTATTAGGTACTAGATATAATTTTTAAAAGGTAAAATCAAACCAAGTATACTAAAATATTACTTGGAGCAACAGTTCATAGGTACTAAATAAGTAATTACTTCAGAGGCTGAAGTAATGACTAAAACACTGTGCTTTATTTTGAGGACTTTAATGGCTAAAAGGTGAGAGACACACATACATACACATTATGTCTCCTATGATTACATAACTTAATTGATTTTTAATTATAAGGTAATTAAAATAAATACCTGTACTGTTTTTCCAAGTCCCATGTCATCACCAAGAATACATCCCCTTCCTCTGATGAAGTGTCCATAGAGAAACTGCGCTCCTTCCCTTTGGTAGTCTCTCAGGTATCTATTAATAGTGTAAGGAATAGAGTCTCCACCTTCAATTAATTGAAAAGCAATAGCAGATGATGGAAATTTTCTGTCTGGGAAGTAAGGTTTTTCCAAATCTTCATCATCAAATATAAAATTCTTGGAACAATCTTTAACAGTTTTTATTTCTTGAAGTCTTTTAAGAGGTACTTTCCTTTCATGAAAATCTGAATATAAAACAACTGCAAATGACTTTCCATTTTCATTTACAACAGATTTTATGCTTGCTTCACAAAGTTTTTCACTATCTGGAGAAGGTGCAAGACATCTTTCTCCTGGATGCCATAGGTCTGTAATAAAAAAAAAAAAAATGTTTCCAAAGATAGTTTATATTCTTATAGGCTTACACATCATTTATTTTCTGCTCTGAGAAAAAAAATAACACCTCATATATTCTTTCCAAATAACTGAAAGAAGTACTTATAACACATATAGATGTGTCCATAAATAATACCAACAGATACTCTCTGATAATAAGCAGAATAGAAGGAGAATCACTTATTTCTCACCAAGGTTGACAACCTTCCTTTTATGCCTGAAAACTAGCTCAGTTGATTCTTTTTCAATGAATATATGCAATGGACATCTGGGGTGTTTTTTTTTGGTTGTTATTGCTGACTTCAAAAGGTGACTCTGATCACAGGATTGAGAGCCACTGTTTTAAATGCCAGTAATGACTCGTGAATATATGCAGATGATCCATGATGGCCAAGTGTAAGAGAAGCTAAAATCCTCTGGAAAACAATACTTTTGAGATTAAGCTGAATGCTTTTTTTATGGTAGTTACATCTTCTAAGGATACAGTTGTTTCTTCTCACTCCCAAGGTTGTTGCTTCAAAATTATTGCTTTAATTTTTATCTGATAACCAAGGGGGTCCTCCAATTCAACTGGTCTTACGTACCAGCTTGTTAACACCCTTTTTCTTTCTTTAGGTTTCAAGAGCTGAGATTCTTATAAAGGAGATAATGAATTCTAAAATCTTCTTCTAAGATTTTACTGCTCTTTTAAGAGTCAGATACACAAATTTATTCTGCACTTAGCTGTACAGTCATTTTATTTTCCAGCCATAAAATATAGCACTATGAATAAGGGCATAGGATGCTCTCTATAGAATATACCATTGATACAATTAAAAGCTATCAAATAGAGAAAATCAAACAAAATTCTAATGGCAAGAATCCCAGAGGAACTATATGGCTACAATTATAAGAATAGCAGAAATTACTTTTCTCATATATTTCTCATTAAGATCAGATGACCACTGGAATTCCTGATGATTTTGAGTCAGGTTTTTATAACATTCAACAAAGTTTAGATATAGCTAGAATATCTAAACTTTCAAAAAACATCTCTCTATGCTATTTCTCACTAGTTGCTCCTGAAAAATAAAATCATTATTCTCAACTTTGGTAGGGCTCTTTTACATAACAATTAAAAGTACAGAAAAAAAACATCTTTCCTTCACTCCAATCTTTGGATCCAAACTGTTTGATAAGCATCATGCTATTCTAAAAGAGTTTCACCATGTAACTAAAACCTTGACCCACCATGCAAGGGTAACAAGTCAATGGATTCTAATTTCCTAACAGGGTAATCTGAGGTAATCTGAACCTTAAAATCTAAATTAACTCCTAGAGCAATTGTTAATATATATTTTCTATTTCACATGATTTATCTGCCTATTAAGCAAAAAGCCTTCTACTTTTTAAGACTTAGTTTAGTATTGTTATTCAACATACATTACTTAAACTACTCACAATACACCATACCACAGCATGGGTATAAAGTGAAGATAGCAAATGTCAAAATAATAATGATTAAAGTTTGCTCAAAACTAGTCTTTCCAAAAATCAAAAAATGGACCCATCAACTTCTCAACATAAAGTCAGCCATTAATTCCTGTTCATATTAGTCTCTGTCCAATCTGTCAAATTGTCCCGCTGTTTCTACTTCAAACTGTGTAACTTTCATCCATACCAACTCTCTAAAACCAACTATTGGTAAACTTTTTCCATAGAGAATCTAATTTTGGCTATTATTTTAAATTTTGCAAACTATGCTGTCTCACCTTGTAACACTAATGCAGGTACAGAAAACATATAAACAAGAAGATAACAACAAAACCTTATAAAACAAATGTGATATCTGATCCACAGTTCTTCCCTGCAGTAGCCCACCTGCAGATTTCTCCTTTCTCTCTGTAGCTACCAAAAATGCTAAAAACCCATTTAATCCCTGTTCCACTTTAGTAATAACATTGACTACTTAAAATACTATAAATTATTGTAAATCTTATTAGTATCCACTGCACAAGAAATAAATCCCAAACTCCTTACAAGGTCTATAGCTCCTGTATGGGATCGGCCTCTACTTACCTCTCCAACCTAATGTCAGTTTTATTACCTTAACTCAAATATGCTAAGCAGATCTTCTCCCCACTGTTTGTATTATCACCTCAGAAATGTCATCACTGACCACCTTATTTAAAATACAGTAGCCCATTATTCCCTATCTCAAATAAATATTGCATGATATTCATCAAAATGTTTGCATATTAACCCAATCTCTCCCATTAATGAGTATTTCCAAGAAAATGTCTGGATTAAAAATGTTATGCCCGGGCCCTCCCTGATGGCGCAGTAGGTTAAAGCACAGCACTGAGAAGCTAAAGTTCGAACCCAGCCTGTCCCAGAGGCGATCCACGTGGCACAGCAGACCTCTCCTGACCCACCCGCTGCTCCCCTCAGCAGTGTACTTCGTAGATCTGCCTGTAGTGCGCACCACTTTGTCTCTGATGAATCCTTTCACCGCCCCTGCACCTCTGGCCTGTACCCAGTTCTGCATGAATAAATAAATCTTAAAAAAAAGAAAAAAAGAAATTATCCCTAGGACCAGCACAGAGGGCACTCTATAAATGTGCTGAATTTTTTATTAATGACAACATATCTTTGATCTCCAAGATCCTTGATATCTACTGAGGGAGACACAAAATAGACAAACATGTAAGAAGATAACAGAATGCTATAAAAAGAAGGATTGAGGAAACAATTCAAAGAGGAGGAGATCCAAGAAAAGTAGAAAAGAGGATAGAGCATGTGCAAAGACTTTAAGGGTGTCACAAAAACAATTTATGTAAGTATATTTGATTGCTGATTTTAGAAAAGTTTTACAAGCAAATAAATTCTTACAGCTTGGACTAGAACATCTCCATATGCAAACTCCTGAACATATAGTTAAAATGGGGGGATTTCATGTTGGACTGAATGGAGGGAACTGGAAGAAGATTCTGTATGATCTGTTTTCTTTCTCTTTCTTACACTCTTGCCCTTTCATTCCAAACTGGCCTTCCTCAGCTCTGAACAATTCCTCAGCTCTGGCAAGCATGTTCCTACCTCAGTGTTCCTTTCACCAACACTCTTTCCTACTAAAATGAATCTTTCACTTCAGGTCTCTACTCAAACAGCATCTCCTCAAAGGTGTCTTTTCTGACCATGCAATCTAAAATGGAATTCTGGGTCATTCTCTCTACATGGTTCCAATTTCAAAGAACATGAAATAACTGATATTATTTATCTCAACAATAAGTTAACTACAGACTTAACTTTTTTATCTAGGGCTGCTAGAAACATTGTTTAAAATGCAATATTGTAGAATTTAAAAATATTACATAAAGCTAATACTTGAATACTTGTATGTGCCAAATATGTGCTTTAGATGTAATAACCTTATTACTTTCACTGCTTCATGTAAATGATATAATTAGCTCCATTTCACACACAGTAAAACAGAGAAAGGCTAACCAACTTGCCCATGGTCTCACAACTAGAAAGTGAGAGCTGGATTTGAACCAGGCTATCTGGCGTTCCAAGCTACCACGCCTGTCCAACTCACAAATAAAAAATCCCCTGACCCTGAGTAGGGTCATTTAACTACCACAAACTGCACTTTGTAACTTCAAATATATTTACCTGCCAAACCTCCATAGGCATTTATATTTGAGGCCTCTCAGTTATGTCACCAAGTAGGCTTATTACACAAATTTCTATGAACTTAAGGTCTGCACTCCTTATCTATCCCATGAGATCCATAGCATTCTCAAAAGAGAGCATGTAGATAAACAGCATATTGCTAGGAACTAAAAAAGCCTGCAGTGGTGGCTTTTGTTATACCGCTACTAATGAAAACTATTAATTTGGGGGCATGAAGGCATCGCAGATGGCTTGTGGCAGATAGCCACACCCTCCTTAAAGTCTCTCTTGGCAACCCATTAGGTGGAATAAGGCCTCAAATAAATACATCATCTTTTGTGTAAAAGTAAACTGAACTAAGTATATCGGACTTCATTCATTTACTAAGCAACAAACTTTTACCATTCACTAAGAACTGGGGTATACACAGATGATTTAAAAAATCAAACATTTGCTGAGTTCATTCTGTGGGCCAGACGGTGAATCATATGGTGCTTTGCATACACTCATTTAATAATCACAAGAACTCAATAACGATCTCAATTTTAAGTAAAAAGAAAATGCTCAAAGTAGCAGCATTTGATCCAAGGCCAGTAAGACTCCAGAGTCAGATTATCAACGCTGAATCGTAAAGAACTGGTCCCAGCCCTGGCAATCAGGAGTCCAACCTGGCGCCATAAAGACAGGTGTCTGGGAAGCTACGTGAGCTCAGAGCTTATACCTTTCCCGGCGGTTTCTGCGCGAGGCTTCGGGGCAGAGGGGTCCATCTGGCCAGGGGGTGGGGCCTGACAGCCTGGCTGCTTTTAACACCGAACCAGCGGCGGAAGGCAGCGAGAAGGCTGCGCGCGGGCCCACCGCGGCCAACACCACTTCCGGCCGCCCTCCGTACATCGCCCCCTTGGAGCTCGATGCCGCGGGTCGACAGGGAGCAAAGGTGGGGTTTGTGGGGGTTCCGAAGCGGCGGCAAGTCGGAGGGTGTTGTGGAGGCTGACAAGGCAGCCCTCGCCGAGACCTCCGAGCGCGCGGGACGACCCCTCAACCTCCCTCACGGCGCGCACCTCCCTCCACCGCCCTCCGCCACTTCCATCACAGACTCAGAAAATCCCGCGAGAAAGGGCTCGAGAGCTGTCATCGAGATCTCGCGACAACAAAATCTTGGCTCACAGGGGAGGAGCAATCTTCCAGCGGTCTTTCCCCCCCTACAGCGAGAAACGCAAAGTTCGCGATACTTGTAAGTGGCCCGAGGTTTGGTGCTATTTGCCCTCCTGGAGCGATCTGGCGGGTCTAGACTGGAAGCAAGTTATTCACGGGTTTGGACGGACGTGGTGTGGGAGGGCCGGTAAGGTGGTGGCCTGGCAAATACCGCTTAGTTCCTTCGTGGTTGTGCCCAGTGCCCGGAAACCTGAGGAGGGTATTAATCCCCTGACACACACACACATAATCCCCTGACAGGCGCAAAAACACACACACATACGAGCGCGCACACACTCGCGAATACCTGTGCACTCACAGGGAGGCCCAGTGCCCTTAGCTGGTTTTCTTGGGTCATGCAGTCATGAATAATTTCTGCGGGTACCAGACCACCAGCACGTGACAACAGATGACAAAGGTAAAACTACAGTGAAAAGAAGTTTTCTCCAAAGCCGTGTAGAATTACCAGTGGTTTGTAGAACATATTATGGGAAAGCAATAAGCAAACCCACTTTTGTACAAATATACTGGGAGGTAAACTACTCTCAAGTTAAATGGATGCGGCTTGCATAACCCCTTCGGAGACTTCATTGATTGTTGCTTCTCAGAAATGGTTCTTGCACATCTGGAATATTTTCATACAGACTGCCATATTTCATTGAGTTAGGTTAACCTGAATGGACCACTCACCCAACAGGTTCCCTTCACTTACTCAAATTTTCAAGTGTACCAGCACAGCTACCAAATACCAAGAGTGATAAAAGTAACAGAACCATGAAGGAAGTGGTGTAATTACACTATGTGTTGGACTGCATACAAGACCTGAATAGACATACCTTTATTCTAACTCTTTATATGAGTTAGGACTGTAAGGATTGTTTATACATCAAAAATTTCATGTTAATGAAGCATATGATTATGTGTGAAATATTTCCTTAGCATACTTTATTTAACATAAGATTTTAATTTAGTAATAAGAACATGAAACATTTATAAAAGGTCTATGTTACATATGACTAACTTACTATGAAAAAAATCAGCATGTAACACCAAAAGTATCCACCTTAAAATATGCTGCCAACTTAAAGTTAGCATTATAGAAACAAAATGGGTTGTTTCAAACTTAAATACAACTTAATATATTACTATTGTTCCAAATAAATGCATCAAATTTGGGCTTAATTGCCATGACATGTTAAAAATGCTAAAACTAACTTTTGAAATTAATTTGGAAATTGAGTACAATTTCAGATTTACATATTGAAAAACAATACTTGGATTAATCCCTATTTTCCATTCTCCATATTAAACCAAAAGTATAGTAGCAATGAAAATTAGCTGATCTACTGACAGACTTTTATCTATGTAGTAAGATACTAATTAAGCTATATTTTTTTTTCACAGATTTATTTATTTGTGCATACAGAACTGGGGTACAGGCCAGAAGCTCAGGGGCGGCGAGAGACTTCACCAGAGACAGAGCGGGGAGCAGAACAGGCAGATCGACGAAGTACACTGCTGAGGAGAGCAGCGGGCGGGTCAGGAGAGGTCTGCCGCGCCATATGGTCACCTCCTGGGCAGGCGGGGATCGAACTCATGCGGAAGCGGCCTTAGATTCTCAGTGCTGTGCTTTAACCCGCTGCGCCACCAGGGAGGGCCAATTAAGCTATATTTTTCCCCGCAAGATATTAAGTAAATTCCAAAAGTCATAATCTTTTTCCCCTTGAAGAGCCCAGTTAAAGTAATGGAAATTACATTTGAATAGCAGTTAGATAATTTTTAAAGTACAGATTTGTCTTCTATTAAGTAGGAGAGAGACATTAACCCTTTGGACTCTTTAAATATTATGGGGTAGAAAATGTTTTTAATGCTTATCAGGGGTTCCCATAATGGTCTTCAGAATGCATGACCTATAGGGTGTATTTCAAGTCTAAAATTGCATGTAATTTCTGTTAAAAATAACTTTCCCCTAAATTATTTTCGACTATACCACCTCATCTTTTGTAACTTTCCCTGAATTTTGAGTGCATAAAGGCAACTCTTTTAAAAGAGAAACTATATAGACACAGTTTAAAATTTCAAAAGTACTTTATGAAGATGGTAGTCAAACCTTTACTTTTCATATATGCTGCCAAAGTGAGTGATACCTTAGGAACCAAAAAATGAGTAAAAGGGAACTCTCTAGTAATTACAGGATGTGCTGAATTCAATAGGAGTTTATTCTAAAAGCAAGTATTATGTTTCCTTCATATGAATCGTTTTTATCACATTGCCCTAAATTCATCAATAAACTCAAATGAGATGGCTTGAGTTGGGAATGGACAGTGTTCCATTAAACAGAAGTTAACTTGAACTAATTAAGACAGAGAAGTATGAAAAACAAATAAAAGTTAAATGAGTTTATTTTTGAACTAGGTATTTTATTTTAAACATAAAGTTACTCTTTGAGGGAACTGCTCTCTTCAGTTTATGCATAGACTACTTGACAGACTGGTTGAAATATCCCATGTCATTTTTGCACAGTAGAAATGCAAAACCAAAGAATTCATATTTTTAAGACTGTTAACACCTTCTCATATGTCAGTAATCCATTCAACTTCTCTAGAAAAACATAGGCTTTATTTTTCTTGCTGTTAATTATTTCTTTAGCTCAATTTTTATAAATCAATTCTTGTTATCTAAAAGCCTGTAAGAATTCTCATCTGAAGCTTTTTTTAAAAGTTGTATGCATTGACAAATGTTTTCACAACAGTGCTTTTAATGGCTATGCATTCAGTATCCCAATGCATTCTATATTCACAAGGTCTATCTTTTCTTTTTCTATCAATTTTTTTACTTTTCTTTAAGGAAGATTGTATCAGTTCCTAAGTCTGTGGCAACCTGCACGTTTGCAGGACTGTTGAAGGTGGACAGTATTGGTATTTTAGGTGGTAGTTAAGAAAAGCAGAGACTATGATGGTGTGGTTTCACACGTAGTTGGATATCATAAAAAAATATCATAGCACTAAGCCATAAAGATAATGATGTAAGCAAAGAAACTCCCTAGTTTTTCATTCTTTAAAAAACTTGGCCCTCCCTGGTGGCGCAGCAGGTTAAAGCGCAGCACTAAGAATCGAAAGCCACTTCCCCATGAGTTCGATCCCTGCCTGCCCCGAAGGTGACCACATGGCGCAGCAGACCACTCCTGACCCGCCCGCTGCTCCCCTCAGCAGTATACTACATTGTTCTGCCCCCCCCAACCCCTTCCCGTCTCTTGTGAATCCTCTCACTGCCCCTGCAACTCTGGCCTGTACCCCAGTTCTCTATGAATAAATAAATAAATCTTAAAAAAAAAAACACATTCATTAGCATTTGTTCATGTAAGTGGATATTTTTAAGGAGAAAAAAAGAAAAATTTTACTTCTTTCCACTTTTCAGTGTCTAAAGGAGCACAATACAAATTTTATCATCTACATTTTTCCTTCAAAAATAACTGACCCTTCTAAGAACAGTTTGATAAGTAACATATAGAAAGATCTTCTTAATTTTTCCTGAGTATTTAACTTTTGGCCCCCAGATATAAGTGTATATGCTACTGATAATTTATATGGCTCTTTTCCTAAGTATGTATTTTCTTGTACTTTATATAATCTATAGATCATTTAATGGAACTTACTTAGTTTAAAGTTAAGTTTTATTAAAAAGCTATTTTTTTCTTCTATAAAAATACCCTAAGTATTGACACAAATCACAAAAGAAACATTAAAAACTTAAAGATTCTTAGAAAATTTGGCAGTTCCCTTAGTTTCTATGCATTTAGTTATTCATTCACTTAAGTGTTTATTTAGGACAGCTGTCATTGCCAGGAACCATAGTATGCATTGAGGATACAGTCATTGAACCAGAAAGACATGATCCCAGTGCTCATAAAACTCGTGGTCACTAACATGGCTAAAACAGTTAGGCTCCTGTAATTAAATAATAAAGATGATGAGATTTGAGCCCTCCCTGGTGGCACAGCAGGTTAAAGTGAAGCACTGTGAAGCAGTCAGCAGCCACTGCAACATGAGTTTGATTCCTGGCCAAGGAGGTGACCCACATGGCATGGCAGACCTCTCCTAACCCACATTCTCAGCAGTGTACTTCACCAATCTGTCTGTTCTGTGCCCCATTCTGTCTCTGGTGTGTCCTCTCAACTCTCCTCCCCCGTACCTCTGACCTGAACCCCAGCTCTTGTATGCATAAATAAATAAATCTTTTTAAATATAAGAAACTACCTTAAGAATCACATTGTACACCTAAACTTTTATGTCAGATAATATCTCAATTTCTAAAAGATTGCTATTGTTGGAATAACTTTTATACCCAAACCTATTAAAGTAAAATGTAAAGAGTTTTTCAAAAGTAAAAATTTCTGAAAGCTTCCAGAGAAAAACAGCAGTTCAGTCACAAATAAGTAGGTGACATACTTATTTTAGACACTTCAAAAAAATATGCTAAGAGATATCTGAGTAATTTTAATTATTGAAAGGGAAGGAAATCTCTGAAACTATAATTTATACTCAACCAATTTCTCTAATAGACACAGATGCAAAAATGTTAGCAAACTAAATCCAACAATGCATTAAAAATATCATGTACCAAAACTAAATAGAAGTTATGAAGAGCACAGAGTAGTTCAATATCTGAAACTCAATCAGTGAAATTTATCACATCCAAGAAGAATGATAAAAACTGTATGATCATACAAGCGGATGCTAAGAAAGCATTTAATAAGATCCAAATTCAATTATGATAAAAGCTCTTAAAAAACTGAGGATAAGCAGAACATACCTTAACATAATAAAGCCATTCACCACAAACCCACAAACCCACATTCCCAGTGGTGAAAAACGGAAAGCT